AGTGCACTACTTCTGAGCCCTCACCCCCATGTCCCCTTTCTTTTTTTTTTTAAACCACTTTATTGAGGTATGATTGGCATACAAAAAGCTGTACGTATTTAATGTGTAGAACTTGATGAGTTTGGAGATAAGTATACACTTATGAAACCATCACCACAATCTATGCCATAAACATATGCATCACCTTCAAAAGTTTCCTCCTGCCCTCATTAGTAGGTATTATCTTGTGATAAGAACCTTAACATAATATCTAACCCTTTAGCAAAATTTTAAGTCTACAATACTGTGCTGTTCCCGACAGGGACTCTGTGGTACAGATCTCAAGGATTCATTTCATCCTGCATAACTAGAACTTTGTTCCTTTTGACTAATACTTCCCCATTTCCCTTCCTGGATGAATCTGGAGGACATTAATGCTCAGTGAAATAAGCCAGACACAGAAAGACAAATACTATATGATACCACTTATATGAGAAACTAAAAACAGTCAAACACATAGAAGAAGAGAGCAGAATGCTGACTGCCCTTGTCTCTTTTCTTGATACTCAGCCAAGGACAAAAAGAAAAGCCAGGCTTCCAGCAGCTCCATTGTCAGGGGCTCCATGGAGAGGCTTGATTTCTTTGCCCTGGTTGTATTACCCACTCTACACCTCCTCATTGATCCTCCTGAAGCTAAGGGCAGAAGATTCCACTGTTATAGCAAACACAAACTGCCTAACCAGTGCTTATATCCTTACTCTTGAACTTCCATTCCTTGTTCTTAACCTTGCAGTGTCTCTTGATAGCTGACCCCAGGGCACACACATTTTCAGATGAGTGGAGAATGGTGCTTTAAGGTGGTAAGGGAACATCTCCCATAATCCCAAGTCAGTTTTCTCCATTATTTTGATTTTATCTCCATTATTTTTCTCTAATGCCTTTCACTATTCATATAATATCTCAACCATACCCCCATAGGATGGTTTTAACCATTTTCTCCTTTTTGCAATAAAAAAAAAAAATTCTATTAAATATACTTCCTTTAGTTGTATATGTCTCAAATATCGTACCATAAGTTCATTTTAAATTCATTTTTAACAATATTCATTAAAGAGTAGTTTTGGGGGCACCTGGGTGGCTCAGTCAGTTGGGTGCCTGACGTCAGCTCAGGTCATGATCTCACAGTCCATGAGTTCGAGCCCCGTGTCGGGCTCTGTGCTGATAGCTCAGAGCCTGGAGCCTGCTTCGGATTCTGGGTCTCCCTCTCTCTCTGCCCCTCCCTTGCTCATGCTCTGTCTTTCTCTGTCTCAAAAATAAATAAAAACATTAAAAAAGAAAGTAGTTTTGACATTTTCCCATTTAATTAATGTTATACTCTTTAATTTACTTAAAGATAATAGTATATATGATTTACAGACAAATAATTCTGTAATGATGTGACATGTTGGTTAGCAAACTGGAAGGTATCAAAAATGCAGACCAAAATTTAAGTAGATATCGTTGTATTAACAATTGCTTTCAATATTTGATGTTTGAAAGTTGAGAATTCTGAGTTTCAAAAAGTTAGCTCATTTATTTTTATAACTTTTATATGTTTCTAAATGAAGAAACAAAAGATAAGGTCTCAAATTATGATTTACAAGCAGATTTTCACAATTACCACACTGCTCAGTTTGGATGCTTGGTTCCTTCAAAAACGAAAGGTCCAATTAGCCAAAATCATGAGTATATTTTTTTCTTTGCCTGTCAATTTTTTCAAGTACTAAGCGAACTTTGATTGAATAAAATGTATAGATGCGGTAAAGGTCAGTAAGAGATAGGTTTGCAGAGTAAGTATGCATCTTCCTTTTCATCATTGAATGAATATAGTTTTACATTAAACAGTATGTGCTAGATCAATCCCATTGCCTCTCCAGACCCAATATCTTTCTTTATCCCATGTCTCATTGTAAAGAGTTCATTTTTATGGATTGCTTCAACAGTTTCTACTGGTTTCTATTGGATTTGGCCATTGGAGATATATTGAAGGTGAGTGGAGTTGGGGTATTTATTCCCCCCAGCTGGTAGGTCACCTGAGCTGGCTAAGTCTTGTGACTAAAGGTTACAGCTCGTGTGAACGGGTTCTCTCCATCTCCTCACCTCTTCAGACGTGACGTGACCATGGCTCCCTGCTGAGTTCTTCACTATTCCTTGTGGTTTCTCTATACTCTGCTCACACTTTTTAAATATTCTCTCTGTTAAATACTCATCAAATTACATGATTTAAGGTTCAGTGCCATCTCTTTTCTGACTGAACCCTAACTCTTATGTAATATGAGACTATGAATGAAAACAATGTGAAATGATATAATGTTCATAAACATGGGGCTAGTCAGCAAATGTTAAAGCACGGAGCAACTGAACCATGAGCTCTCTCATCTGATATCCATTAAGTGCCACACACGCTCAGCCAAACACATATTCAAGGCTCAAGAGAAAGGCAGCCCAAATATTTACTTTATTCTGATTTTTTAAACTAGAAACTAAAACCACAAACACTCTTTAACTATAAACACTCCCTAACAACCCCAAACTTTTACAAACTACCAGATGAAACAAAAAGTTTTGCTAATTGAAGTGATTATCTTTCACCCCATCCCAATGGATAAATTATGAATAATGTATAAGGGACATGTGTGTATTGGGGATGTGTGTGTTGGTTTAGAATCCCTGGATATTTAAGACTGTACATCCCTACTGATGAAAATTAGGCATAGCACCAGAGTTTGAAATTGATTTCTAGTCACCTAATCTGTAAATGGAAATACAGCCACTAACTTTCCTCTAAACCTGACTACAAGCCAGTATCCAAAGGATTATTTACTGTCCAGCAAGAGACACACAGGTCGAAGACCATCCCGTCCCATCCCATCAGTGCTTGAGTCTCTGAGAATTTGTGAGTAGCTGGATTATACACAGGGACTGGATATAGTAGTTCATTATTATGGGAACATTATGTGAAGAGTTGGGATCACTGACTTCTCAGCTAATAGCTATCATGTGCAGAGAGCTTCGAGCACTCCAAGACTGCCGCCTGAGAACGGAAGCGGAGAAGGAGACATGGCCACAGCAATTCAGGGTACGGGGAGTCCAGTCTTCCCCATTTGGTTGATCATGCCAACAGAACATAAGACCAGAAAATGGAGCATAATGTGACACTAGGGAATACCTGTCACAAAATACAACGTTTATTGATTTTCTTTTAATGTAATTCTTCCAACTCTACTATGGCCTGAAAGTTATTGCGATAGTACCAGCTACTAGAATGTCCAGTGAAGATATGCTTGCAAGGCAAAAAGCTTGATCGTCCGGATCCTTCCTACCTTTCACATCTCTAACTCAAAGTTGGCTGTGCCTGTCTACCAGTTTCTTGCACATCTCTCTCTCTCTCTCTCTCTCTCTCTCTCTCTCTCTCATGGGAAAGTTGTAGACAGTCTACAATCCACTAAGCAAGAGAAAGTCCACAAGCCCCAAGACACCATCAGAAAGCGTAGGGTAGATGGAGCCAATGAAGGAAGGTCATGAAAGAACAGAGGACTAACCTGCTTCTTCCCAACCACTTAAAATGGCTAAGAATAAGAATCGTTTTACTTCCTCCTCCTCCTCTTCCTTTCACCTCCTTCCCTTTTCAACCTATTTCATCTCGCCTCTTTACAGGCTAGAAAGGAACCAGCTACAAGTCACTGTGAACTGAGGAGATAATCCAATTACAATGGAAGGCCATACCCTGGAAGCAAAGGTATGTAGCCTTCCAAAGAAAAACTTGGTAACTGAGGCTACAGGCAAAACAGCAAAATTAATCTTTTTCCAGGCCTCACTCACCGTCAATATCCCTACCTCAGATAGCCAAGATTTCCTTGTATCTCTCTATGGTGAAAAGTGCTATACTGGTCAGTTCATCCCAGCATGTGATCCAAAAAAGTCATATGAATAAATAAACAAATTAGGAATTAATTGATGAGTAAAATATTCCCCCCAATTATCTTACTTTACCAAAGCAGAACTTCCCTTTACTGAGTTCAGCTTACTATTGATTAATCTGTGGGGCGCCTGGGTGGCTCAGTCTGTTAAGTGTCCAACTTTTGATTTTGGCTCAGGTTATGATCTCATGATTCTTGAGTTCCAGCCCCGTGATGGTTCTCTGCTGACAGTGTGGAGCTTTCTTGGGATTCTCTCTCTCTCCCTCTTCCCCTCCCCACCACTCACATTCTCACTCCGTCTCAAAACAAATAGAGAAACATCTAAAAAAAAATCTTTGTAGTGTGATTCACCACCAGTTTAACCTTCCCAGAGGGTCCTTTTATTCCTAAAGTAGATCTCTGTACAATGAAAAGAGCCATAACCCAAATCTGCTGGGGTCACTAACATGTGGCATCGAGGGAGTTTCACAGCATGTGCTCTTAGGACCCACCCCCACCTTCCTTTTCCCAGCGGCCCTGCACCCCAAGAGGCCTTTCACAGGTCACACCAAGAGACAGAGTAGACATAAATAGCCACAGATGAGGAAGCCATCTCTTTCCAGGAACCGGAATACATTTCTTGCCTCTGTGTCGTCCCTCCTGTGTTGAGTTCTGTTCAACACAATAATGTGTCAACAAAAATAGTATAGTGCTGCTCAACAACCCACTGATGTTCTGCTGCTGAGCAAGGAGTGTGATGGACCAGCAGTCCTCAGAAGGGGGTTGTCACAAAATAGGAAGTGTTATTTTTTTTTTTTTAGCCATCGACAAGGAAATTCACTGTAAAAGTGTATCCATCTGTCGTAAAAAGTGCTACTACCGGTATTAAGACCCCTGACTCTTGCAGTGAGTTCCACAACAACTAAAACCCCTCCTAAGGAAAGGGACCTGGAGATATAAAGCCTTTCAGAAATGAAGACATGTACTGAGCACTGGATTCGGGTGACAGGATGTATCTACCTGGGGCGTTTGTAAAGGCCTGGGGAGACTCCTACGGTGGCCATGGGGTGCCGGGCCCCTTACCTTACCACACTGCTTACATTTTCCCTCCTGCCGACGCCTGTGCACCCAGTGATGACGCACAAAGTTCTGTGGGAAAACAAAAGTAAGAGAGTACGTTTAAATTTGCAAAGCCCATTATTAGTTTTTTAAATGTTTAAGCATATAGATTTCCTTAAACTATAACCTAAGCCCGTATGAGCACAATACCAAACACGCGTACGTATGACTTGTTTTGACAATAAATATCAATCCACTTGGAAAACCCGAAGCTACCCCCATGCCCCGGGATCTTCCGTATTTGTAGAAATCATGAATCGTGTCCTCCCTCCACGTCTTCCTCGTAGGCCACATTGTGAAGCTCTTCCTCCATTTTCTTCCTAGTAAAATGCTGTGCAGATGTGGGAGGTGACTGAAATGCCATCAGAAAAGTGAAAGGTGAAGGGAAGATGAAACCCCATCTATTTTTAAAAACAAATATGTACTGAATGCTTTATATATGCCAGGCAGGCACTGTATTAAACATCCACGCTAGGAAGAACTTTAAGAAATTAAATTCTCAGAAAAAAAAAAAAAAAAAAAAAAAAAAAAACAGATCTCCTCATTCAGGACACAGAGGATGAGAATCTTTCACTCGCAAAAGTGAAGGCAAAGAAAAGATGAAGGAGAAAGAGGACAAAGACAGCAAGAGATGTGGGCCCATTGTGACGTTTTTTGCAATGACATTGTGTTTCAACTGTCCTTGGGTTCTCTAAACAAGATCAGCTTTCAAGGTCTATTCTTATCTTGGGCCCTAGGAAACAATGAGAGCCCTTTTCCTCCCAAAAAGACAGTCACTCCTCGGGCAGGGAGTCAAGGAGACCCATTACCACTGCTGTTAGGATATATCATAGGAGAGAAAGTTGTCTTCAGGCCCAATGGTATCGATAAACTTACATACAACTCATCCCTCTTATACCAATACACCTAAAATACTTCTTTTTTCCTCCTGTCCTTTTCTGAGAAAACACCCTTGAGCCTATATTAACATGTCCATCATCAGGCCACAACCCATATTTTCCCTTTGAAAGGCCCTCTAATATATATCCAGTCATTCAGCAAATACTTAACTAGATGTCTACTATCTGGAAGGCACTGTTTTAAGTATACAGGTGTACAGGAAATAGATCCGTGTTAGGAAAAACAAATGTTATATCAACACATGAAATCCAGAGTGACAAAACTACCTCTGACAAACATTAGCATTATCAGTTCTAAAACGCCACCTCTGTTTCTCTTCATAATGTCAAATCAATTCAAGCTAAAGCTTAAACAAAGAGCCTGGAGGAATAATGGTGTTTTGAATGTAATAAGATATAAAGAAGCATAACGGTCCCACTAATTAGTCTAATTTTTGTCTTGCTTTCCCCACTGAGGCCATTTAATTAACACAAGGACACAATTCTCATATTGTTCTCAGAAAGAAGCTAGTAATAATATTCTTGAGTACTAACTGTGTGCCTGGCACTTTTAAGATACTTTAAATGTAAGAATTATTTTAATTTTCATGAAAATTTCTATCAGTAGAGATGCCAGTCAGTATGTACCAGAAAAATCCCATTTGTTGTGAAAATACTGAAATATTCCTATATTTGTTGATAAATTAGTTTAGTTCCCCCACCATCCTCCTGGCTCCTCCCCGAATGCCACAGCACCTCACCCTACCCCCTCAACACTGGAAGCCATTTCTACCCCCTCTTACTATTAATCAACTAGAATGTTCGTTTTTGACATAAAAGGTCTCCAGGATCCTCCTCCAATGAGCGCTCTTTTGAAAACAAATCACGTTGCCTGAGCAAACCCAGAATCCTGGGCTGTGCTCAACTGGTGGTGGTTGCCTGTATGAACTTCAATATCACACAAACGATGCTGGGTCCCATGGCTGGCTGTGGCTTCCAGGAGAGCGGCAGCAAGTCAGAAATCTGCCCAGTTATCAGTGCCCAAAGTACCCACTGGGGCTGAAGCTGCTGGACCCTGCGGGCCCTCCAGCCCACTGCCTAAGAATAGGGCTGGGGAGGACTGGGCCAGTTGCCAACTACACCCTATCTCAATTCACAACACCACAGAGCACATTATCAGAGGTTTTTACTGAATTATCACGATCACCCTCCTTTCACAAATTACAAAGCTAAGGGATTGAGCAGATACTTCAGATGTAAGGGTGAGAACAAGGATTCCAACCCAGGCAGGCTGGCAAAGGAGCCTATGCTCTTAACCACCATGTTGCTGTGCCTTTCCTCTGCTCCGAAAGCTCAGGATCAAGCTCCTTCAGTAAATGATTTCAGTGACAGTAGTCGAAACACTGAATATACAAAAACATCAGTACTATAAGAGAGAAAAATTTACTGTAATTGCTGTTAGTTTAGCAAAAGCTGTGGGAGAATGAACAATATCATTGATGGTAGAGAAATTTTCCACTTACGGAGATTATACATCACCTAATGACTATCAATTTAAGGAGGGAAATGTTGGAAGAATTTGATGCAATTGCCTATGAAATCATGGCTGACTCATGGGGTTATTTAGCTAGTGACAGCTCTAATCAAAAGATTAAACCAACAATTTCCAGGAATCAACAATTATTTAGAAATTATAAGACTGACTTAATGAATCATTTATGGTTGCAACATGTGTCATTTGGTACACAGATTTATACTACCATGTAGTTTAACCTACTTAGGGAATAGAAAGGAACATTTTTAAATTGCTTATTTAAATATTAACATATGACTCAGAAAGTTGTGAAATATTTTTAATATCATTTTTCTAGAAAATAGGCTGCAAATTAAGACACAGATAAAGTAACTTAAACAAAAGCACTACTTTAGAAGAAACTGAGTAACTGTCTCCCATCCATAGCTCTGATTTGAGAGGTCAAGCATCCTTTAATTAACAGGTCTTCACAGGCCTAAAAGAAACTTCTTGTGCTGCTGCTTTAATATAGTTTGAACAAACATCCAAAAACACGTGTTGAGTGGAATGGAATTGTCAACCTAATTTTTGATGATTCAATCATGTAGTTGCCACTTGGAAGGGTTATCAATCACGATATCAATCAGAGGGGGAAGAAAAAACAATTTCTACAGAATCACTTCTCTTTTCTAACCTTCATTACCAAGCACCTTCATTTTTCACACTATTTCCTTTTGGCTATTTTTCACATCTCCTAAATTATGGAACTGAAATTAGACTCAGGATCCTTCTACTACAAATACGAGTGTTGACATAATGCTGTTAATATAGCAAAGTAAGGCTTCTAACACCATGACATCTTTGTATTATTCGTCGATAATCTCTGAATTATTCATATACTATCTTCAAGTACTGGGGAAGGAAAGGACTATTACCTATGGGTATTCAAAATCTGTGATACATCACTTCAGGGTTTATAATTCAGTATCATTAGCAGACATACATAACACAATTGCTCACTTATTTTTCAAACGACAAGTTTAATTCCTAACATTATTCACAGACTGCTTGAAAGAATCTTAGAAATTATAACCTAATCCAGATAGCTTATATCTTAGAAAACTGAGGTCCAGAAAGATTCATCTTAGAGGTGTTCAACCAACATTCATTAAAAAACTTCCATAGGTCAGACATTCCACAAAGCATAAGGTACTGTGGTTAACAATCCCTGCCCTAGATCCCTGAACTAGAGATACCCAGCGTGGAAAGAAGCAGAAATATCATTTGAACCCAAGCCAAACTATTTCTAAAGTGACTGTTCTTTCATTTACATTCAGTAAACTACCTAAGGTCCCTTAATTAAGAATTTCAAATGAGTCATGCCTACCGTAAGTTTCATCTTCAAACTGTCCTCTTACAACAAGAGTTCTTAGGCATTTGGGGAGAAATTAACTCGTTTATAAATGCTTTTAGTCAACAGACAGTCAACAAATCACACCCTTTGTGTCCTGGTACAATGAGTTTGGGACGAATTCCCTGAGTGACCTCCCAAGGCTTACACTTTGGGGGGGGGGGGGCGGTGACAAACAAGCAAATGAGTAATATCCATAAACAATTATGACATGCAAAGTACTCTGAGGGAGCAGAACAAGGTACTTTGATAAAGAACAATGTGCAATCTACTTAGAGGAGATCATTAAGGAAGACCTCAGAGGGGATGATATTAGAGCTGAGGCCTGACTCTAAGAAACGGTTAGCCATAAAGAGACTTCTAGTACAACAGTGAAATACATAACTATCTGTGGGGAATACCTTGGTCCATGCCTCAAGAAGTAAAAGAAAGTCCACATGGCAGCTGGATGGGTTTGAAGAGGTGTGCTTGAGCAAGACTACACAGGCCTTTTCATAAAGAATTGGGCTTTATTCTAACTGCTGTGAAAACCAGTGGAACAATTACAGGATCTGATTTCCATTTTAAAAATCACTCTCTCAAATTCGGACGGATTGAAGGGGAAAATCAAGGAATCATGAAGAAGCTAATGTAGTAGTCAAGAGAGATCATGGTGTCCTAGTCTAGGGTGCTAAAAACAGAAACGAAGATAAGTAGATGGTTTGAAATCTGTTTTATAAACAAAATTGATAGGGCTGGCAAAAGAATTAGATGTGTGGAATATATGAGAGAAGGAATCAATGATCCCCCAGTCTTTTTGACCGAGGAGCTGGATCAATAGCCATCTCATTTTCTGAGGTGTAAAAAAAATTGAAAAAAAAAGTTTTTATGGTGATGTTAATAAATAGTTTGGTTTTAATGTGTTATATTTGATGTGACTGTGATATATTCAACGGACATGCCAAACAGAACTCCAAGAAGTGTGGACTGGAACTGCTACATTAGGAGTTGTCAGCTCAGACATCATTTTCAAAGCCATGCAATTGGATGAGTTCTCTCAACAAGAGTGGCCTGAGAGAATACATGACCAAATACCAAGCCCAGAGAAATACACAGAAATCAGGGGGATTGAATAATGAAAGAGAGTGGGGAGGACTATCCAATGAAATAAGAAGAAATTAGGAAAGAGGTCAAGGCAGGAGAGAATTTTAAGAAGGGGATTTGAAAATATTTGAAATATATTTGAATGTGAATAATTTGAATATATCTGAAAGATTAAATAAGAAGAGAATGGAAAAATATCTAATGGATTTGGTACATAAATGTTGATGTACATGATGTTGAATAAAGCAATTTCAGTGAATAGAGTGGAAACCAGATCAGAACAGGTTAAAATGACTAGGAGGTGATATAATCAAAACAATTATATAGACAACACTTTCTGGAAGTCTAGCAGTGAATGCAAAAATGAGAATCGAACAGCAGCTAAGACACAGTTGGTGGTTAAGGAATATTTTCATTCATTTATTTTAAGATGGGAGATGTCAGAGCATGTTCGCGGTGATGGAAATAATCTAGAGGAGGGGTGAAAGAGGTAAAAATTTAGGAATGAAAACTATATCAAGCCCTTGGTACAAAGACAAAAGGTGTTCAAAGCACTTATGGAGGAGGGTCTGGCTTCACAGAAGAGAAATGATACCACTATTAAAAACTAAAACAATATATAACCCCTTGCAGTAGAAAATGGTGCACAACAGTTACCACTATCTATTTAGAGAAAGAGAGAAATTAAAGGACGGGGAAGCTAAGACTGGACATATGGATCCCCTGATTGGAAATTCACTAAGTTCTTGTTAAAAACACAAAACTATTCCATCTACTGTCCTAAAGGAATCTTCTCCTTCATTGGAGTACTTACTGAGCTATCTTCTGGCCAATGCTATAGTGCACTTGGGTGGCATTAAGGGTACCCACAAGCCTATCATTTTTCTTGCACTCTCCTCACCTTATGTATGACCCATACCCTTCCTATTGCTGATACAATGGCCAAACACAGTGGAAGAGGACAAGGGACAGGGACAATTATTCTTCCTCTCTCCACAACCTCCACTCCCAACATACTCCGTTTCGTGTTTTCTCCTAATCTTCCTGTATTAGTAACAATGAGATGTCTTTTTTCACACTGTCTTTTTCATTATTTGTCAATAAGATGTCAGGGACTCTCTCCATACTCACAGTCTGTACTCACACGGCTTCTTTTCCTTTTCTACACATTCATCTATTCTCACAATTTTACTTACTGCATGCTGACGATTCACAAATGTCTTACCTCTAACCCAAACTCCTTCTTAAGCTCCAAACACACATACCCACTCAGCTGTCTACTGGGCATCTCCAGCTGGGGCCTCAAGGACACCACACACTTGAAAATCCTACAACTAAACTCATCAACTCCCCAACCCATTCTCAGGTCAACTCATTTTCCAACATTTCATCGGTTTTCTAGGACAGAAGGCTGGTTTACTCTGGACTCCTCTTTGTGTCCTTAATCCAACCAATTATTACATCCTGTCAACTTTATTTCCTTCAAGTTCCTATCCACTAATTTTCTTCACCCTCAGGATTACTCATAGTTCAGATCACCACCAGAACAGCTCCTTAAATTCTCTCCATGACTTCAATATGGCTGCTCTTGAGCTATATGGTATTCCTTCCACACTGCAGCCAAAGTAATATAGTCTGCTTAAAATAGTTTAATGTCCCGCCCTCCTGCAAATTACCATGATGATAAAACACTCAACTTGTAATGTGGCTTACAAGGACCTTCATGGCCTACCTCCTGCTTATCTCTTGAATTTCACATCTTACTTGTTATGCTTTCTCACTTTTGTGCTTGTGAACATGTGCTCTTTCTGTCTAGGAGGCTGTCACTCGCCTCCTACTCACCCTCCCTCTAACCACACCTTCACTTAAGATAACTCCTCTGGGTCTCAGTTTACTTGCTACCTCTTCCAGGAAGCCCTTCCTCTGGTGTCTTAACCTCTCTCACCCGTTCATCAGTGCACAGAGCTAGTTTGAGGAGTACACCAGCTGGGAAGGTTTCCAAGAGGACAAACCTATATTTAGAACTGAAAATAATCTCACCAGGAAGGTAAGTGAAATGGAGGAAGTATATTTTACAAAAATGGCATTTCCTCCACTTTCTCTGATTGAAAGCACCATATACAGTGGTAACACCTGGAAAGCTCAACTCTGTTCCAGGGAGGATGGGCTCACTGCAGCCTTTTGTTTTGCCAATTGGAGAGTGCAGTTTGGGGCCAGGAGATAAACTATCCAGGATAACACAGGAGGGCTGAGAACCTCTACTAACTGTCTTACCTTCTCTAACTTTTCAACATGTACTCAGTCTCTTCGAAGAAGAACTAAACAGACAAATTAGGTCTAAACGCAGCTCTTCTCCTATCCTCCCCTCTGCTTACGACTAACAGGGCAATTGCTCTTCCTTATGATTTCCCATTTACCTCTTTGTCTTCACTACTGGGCCATGAAGTCAAGGACTGAGCACTGAATGTAGTCCTTCCATGGATCTCTCTACCTGTCTACCTACCCACTTACTCACTTATCAGATGAAAACACTGCAATTCAGAAAGATTAGGTGAGATACCTCAAATCATACAGCATCAAGACTGGTATGGAAACCAGTTTGGCTTCAGTGTTCATGGGAATACTCAGTAACTATGCTGCCCCCCTGAATAGCTTCTACCCACTCAAAATTGAAAAAAAAATGAAATGAAAATGGACCACAGCACAATAAAATGCCATGTATTTCTTACCTCTTCAGTTCTACCACTGCCTCCTACCTGCTCATTAAAACCTTCATCCCCAGTGCATTTCATGAAAATACTATAGGGCAATGTACACATGCTGAGGAGACTGGGAGATTTTACTGGTGGTATTTATGGATGTGTTAATAAGAAACTGAGTGGAATGGATAGAGCTAGACTTTGGTTCTGAATCCAGGTGAATATCTGTTAATCCAGTGAATCAATGGGAAACAAAAGGTGGTATATGAAGTCGAGTTCTGAAACACTCACTTCTCTTGGCGATCTTGAGCCCCCTTCTCGAAATGTTGGTTTACATCTGAAATTAATCTGTCATTTAAAAAGAAAAGTGCATTATATTAGGGATAAGCATCAGACTAGACTGACTTACTTGAACAAATCAACAATGATACACATAGTGAGACTACAAAACAAAAGCCCCACAGTTTAACACTTGAAATCATCACCCCAGATAATCTATAGGGGTCCCAAGTGATCCTATATCTCCAGTCCACGTCTCTTCATTCTCATTGATGAAAGCAACAGATCTTTAAACAATAGTGCTCTTACACTGTAAACTTGAGGAAAAGAGATAAAGAGTGAGAAAAAAAAATACAAGGCAGCTGAAATCACGCAGCTATGCTGCAGATTTTAAAAGTAGGGCAACATAAACTTGAGAAATTTTTAATATGATGATGATGATTTCACATGCACAAATTTTTCTTTAAGTCTGCAGTCCTGCCTTTCTTTTAGGTGGGCAGGCCTCCTGGAAACATGGACATCTTCTTTAGCTACTTGATAAAGTGAAGGGAATACAGAAATGAAGGAGGAGGTAAGTAAATGGGGTTGGGACAGCAACAAACAAACAACAACAACAACAACAACAACAACAACAAACCCAACAAACTATAGATAGATAAAGAGACAGAGAGAAAAAAAATGTTAATACTCGTCCCCACAAAATACCAGTTGGCAACAACTGGTAATATGTTTGTGAAATAATGCAGGTCTCAGGGGATTACAATATTTCAACGCATTTACACATGGCAGCTCAAGAACATAGCTAACACAGAGACCCACACATGGCAATAAAGGAGAGGCACGAAAGAGGACAGCGTTTGGCTCATGACTGGAGCCTTCCTGTTCCCACAAACGACCGCTCAATGGACTCTACAGAATCTACTTCTTCTGGAGGCAAGACACCATGGGGATGTCACCTCCGGCCCACCCACACATTCATGCTGTGCAAGCAGAACACCACCCCAAGAAAGGAAGGAGAGCTGGCTTCTGGCCTGGTTGTCTTCCTTGCAGCCACTTTAGGAAAAAGAAACTCACGAACATCAGGCGAATCTAAATGATCATTTTAAAGAGCTTATGGATTTTCTTCTTAAAAAAAAAATCTTGTGGAATATCCAATGGGTGAGTAACGATGTCTGTCATTGTAAAGAAAATTAGTGTGTGCTAGTCTTTTCTCTCTAACCTTACCATTCCTCCTCCCAAGAGGCAACATAGAATGATACCAAGTTTTCCTTTGGGAAGCAATCGAGCAAATTAACCCTTAAGCACTGCTTTTCTGTTACTACTCCAGTAATAATGTTGGTCTTCCAGTTTTTTTAAAGGGCACTCTCTTGAAAAAGGTGGAAATAAGAAAGGACACCTGGTCTTTGAAGTCCAAATACTTGCAGTGTAGCGAACACTACAGCAGGTGGCGGTGTCTCACCTTTTCTAGCTGTTCAATGCAGGCGGTGTGGACGACGATTTTACAGACCGCACACTTCCTCCTGAGGGCCGATTTCTACAACATTCAATCCAAAATACAAGAAGAAATATTAACAGTCTGTTCTGAAGAGTTCCCTGGTAGTAAAGAGAGTATACATAAACAAAGCAAACGTAAGCAAATTTAAAACGTCATCTTAAGCATTCGATAATAGGGCAAACTTCAACAGTCCTTCTTGACCTACCTACTACCTCCGTATCTCCATGACTCAGGGCATCCTAGGTTTCCTCTCCAGAATATATTAAATATAATAGCTGCTATATAGAACTAGTAGAGCGTATAATATGAACCAGGCTCTTTATTCTGTCATTTCTAAGTTTTATAACCTAACAACCGCAGGCATTAGTATCCTCTGGTTTTTGTTTTTGTTTTTTTACATTTTTACTCTAGTAGTTAAGCAGCAGGACCAACATCCAGAATGAGGTCTATGTTCAAAACAGGCACTCTTTCCCGACTGCCAAGAGTTGACATTTCAAGAGGCCAACAGCTTCAGGCTTCTATCCCAGCCACAAATCTACACTAAGCTACTTGGTCTTGACCCACATCTTGGGGAAACTAAGAGGAGAACCTAACTCTCACGCCTGACAAAAGCAATAAGTAGTAACAATACCAGCAGCGGCAGCTAACATGAATGTAGTACTCGTTATGAGTCAGGCACTCTTAGAAGCACTTTACAAATTGTAACTCATTCAATCTCCACAACCTAAGAAATAGGTAGCATTTTCACTCCCATTTTACAGATGACAAAGCTGTGGCGCAGTAAGCGATGTGCCCAAGGTCTCGTAATTAGGACACAGCACCGCCGGGGAGTCTAGCTCTGAGCTCACAAGACTGTGAGCATCACACAGTTTGGCCTCTCTGACAGGCACTGCCAGTTTCGACGAACAATAAATATACTTTCTGAGGTGTACCTTTTCTCTAACAATACAAAACGAGCAGCAGGGTCAAAGAGGAACAGGTGGAATCTTAACACTGCCAGCTCCACGGAAATCCTAGCTGGGAACGCTCAGGCCTCCCTGCAACGCACAGGCTAGAAGGTAGGTCTGCAGGAATAACTGTGGGCTTTGAGCACTGAAAGCAGCTTATTATAACAAAGCTAATCTGTAAAATAGTGAATCAAAGCATTCGAGTGTGAAAGGCCGTGCCTTTCTTGGGAAAGGTGCTAGTACAGATTGTTGGCAAACTGCCCTCTTCAGATGTGTGGCTTCCCTTGCTGAGATAATCACTTTTGAGCCAAAACTTGAAGTATTACGATTGCCAAAGAAGACTAGAAGGGACTGCAAGCCCCCCCCCCCCTCCCCCGGAAGGGACAGTTATCAGGAACGCAACTAGAGTCTCCTGCCTCCTGGATGCTTCCACTCGCTCCGCGCGGGGTATGCACGCAGGTGTCTGACTCCCACAAAGCGCCTAGAACCATGCGGGACTGGGGCAACCCAACCTGCGGTCTCCCCCTGCCGGCGAGGGGTTAAGGACCCTGCCTGCAGACGGCTCTCCTCTGCCTGGGGAGAGAACACGTTCTGGAACATGAAGTCAGTTGGACAATCCACTGAATTTTCAAAGAGCAAAAGATAAGGGAGATCCAGGCATCTAGTTACACTACTGAAAAGTGTCTCTGCTCTACTACTAAAAAGAGAGGGGGGGGGGGAGGGGGGAGGGGGTGTGGGAGGGGGGTGAGGAAGTAACAGTAGTGGAAGCAGCAGCAGCACTCAAGGCAACAATAAGAAAATTCTAGTTTGCAAATGTTCATGAGCAGATTTCCCGCAAGCAAATTTGTGCTGCTCTCCTGTTTCCTTCAGATCTCCTGGTACAGATCACTGATGCAGCACCACCTGCAGAAAGTGCATGGGGCACCTGAGTCCTGCCGCTCCTCAGTATTGCAGTGATGCTAAGGAAACTGGAGTGAATTCCAGTCTACACACTATCCACCAACCCCGTGGGAGATCACGCTGCAGACAAACACAGCAATTCCACTCATGGTAGATGATCACTGATGGGTATGATTTAAGGATGCCTGAAAAGCCTCCTTCCTTACCAATAACCCCTGCTCCGATCTGGCTTTGCGCCTATGGGGCTCCAGGGACTCTAAGAGGCTCCTCAGAGGTCACTGAGGATTGGAGCAAGAGCACCAAGCAGGTGGAGGGACCCGTACATACTCTGTGAAACCAGAATACCTCTTCCTTTCCTTGTTTTCCATATCAGTATTCTAAATCATAATCTCTTTTGAAAAAGGGATGTGGGCTAATAGTAAGAGTTTGACAACCACAGGGTTAAGACATGTCCTCTCTCAGCTTTCTGGGATAACATGTAAATATACCAACATCATCATATGAACAATTCAGTATGGCATGTTCTCCAGATGATAACGTATGAAGTCAAGCGCTTCAGTTATAAAACCAACTTTATTTAAATGATATTGAGTTTTGGGGCACCTGGGTGGCGCAGTCGGTTGGGTGTCCGACTTCAGCCAGGTCGCGATCTCGCGGTCCGCGAGTTCGAGCCCCGCGTCGGGCTCTGGGCTGATGGCTCAGAGCCTGGAGCCTGTTTCCGATTCTGTGTCTCCCTCTCTCTCTGCCCCTCCCCCGTTCATGCTCTGTCTCTCTCTGTCCCAAAAATAAATAAACGTTGAAAAAAAAATAAAAAATAAATAAATAAAAAATAAAAATAAAAAAATAAATGATATTGAGTTTTAAAAGACCATCAGAAAATACATACTCTCATGCCTTTAGAGCCAGAATATACAGACCATAATCTGAATTTTTCTTCATAAACACAACACGATGCATTTTTTTAAATTACTTATTTTTTTAATTTATATTCAAGTTAGTTAGCATATATATAGTGCAATAATAATGTTCTCTGTGTTTTGAGTCTCTTATGTTTTGTCCCCCTCCTTGTTTTTATACCATTTTTGCTTCCCTTCCCTTATGTTCATCTGTTTTGTATCTTAAATTCCATATGAGTGAAGTCATATGATATTTGTCTTTCTCTGACTAATTTCACTTAGCGTAACACCCTCTAGTTCCATCCATGTTGTTGCAAACGGCAAGATTTTGTTCTTTTTGATTGCTGAGTAATACTCCACTGTACATATAAACCATATCTTCTTTATCCATCCATCTGTCAATGGACATTTGGGCTCTTTCCATACTTTGGTTATTGTTGACAGTGCTGCTATAAACATGGGGGTGCATGTGTCCCTTCGAAACAGCACACTTGTATCCCTTGGATAAATGCCTAGTAGTGCAATTGCTGGGTCGTAGGGTAGTTCTACTTTTAGTTTTTTGAGGAACCTCCATACTGTCTTCCAGAGTAGCTGCACCAGCTTGCATTCCCACCAACAATGCAAAAGAGATCCTCTGTCTCTGCATCCTCACCAACATCTGTTGTTCCCTGAATCAACATGATGCATTTTACTACAAAAAATGGTCATTTTTCTAACAAACTAGAGATCCCTTCAGTGTCACTGTGCTTATCTTTTGTTGTCCTTAATTTCTTAAATGACAGTTTCTAAATAGTTTATAATCTGAGGAATCAGGTAATTAAGGTTTATAATCATATGCAAAATTAAGTAACTTCTGGGTGAAGGCCTAAGGTCTTTTCCCATAGTAATAAAATATACATGGATTTTAGTCCCTCAACTAATAAAAATTGTTTCAGTGAATCAGATTTTAACTGCTGACTTCTTGGTTTATGTGTTTCAATGGGTCAAAGTTATTCAAAGTAGGTGGATAATAAGCTTCTGGGCCGAAATTGCTCAGAAAAGAAATAATTTTTGTGCTTGGTTATGTTAGTTTTTATTTGAGGATGTAAACTAAATACAAAGTCAAAATGTCAGAATCTAGACTGTAAGTATTTACTTTTCCTTTAAAAAAAAAAAAAGCCCAAAATCTCTTAATCAGTTATTTAAACCAATGTTTCATTCACTATGAAAAGTGTTAAGTAAAAAAAAAAAAAAGTCATTAAGGGGCACCTAGGGGGCTTGGCTGGCTGAGTGACTGACTCTTAATTTCCACTCAGGCCATGATGTCCCAGATGGTGGGATCGAGCCCCCTGTCGGGCTCTGTGCTGCCACGGTGGAGCCTGCTTGGGATTCTCTCTCTCTCCCTCTGTCTTCCTCTGTCTTTTCCCCTGCCTCACTCTTGCACATGCATGCACACTCTCTCCCTCTCTCTCTTTCTGGTCTCAAAATAAATAAACTTTTAAAAAGTCGTCAAGCCATTCCACACATGTTTGCAAATTGGAATTTAAAAATTTTTTAAATTCACTCTCTTCAATGAATTTAAAGGCCAAAGTTTTAAATATCACGTAAAGTTACTTCAATGATAGCATCCAAAGGAAATCCATTAGGTTGTAAACTGTGTGTGTGTGTGTGTGTGTGTGTGTGTGTGTATGTGTGTGTACACACACATAACATCTATGAAAATTGAGACAATAGAGGATATAATACAGATGGTATCTTATCACATCATGACCAACATCTATTTAAATAACACTAACACAAGGATAGGCTGTACTTCCCGACAGTGGACACAATCCAACTAGCAGACTACTAGTGACTGTAAAACAACACACTCTAAGTTCTGACTTGGCCCTCCATGTTTCCCCATGCTGCAAGCACTCTGGCATTCAAAGCAGTGACAGCCCTTTCCCCAACTTCAGCTCCTATCAAGCACAGAAGTAACGTTATCTCAGCCTGAGACCACGGGAGCTGGGCCTGGGACAGAAGGTTCCGAGGCAAGCAGTGGTGGAGGAGTTCAAGATCTAACACCATCCCACCCACCTACCACCTTTGCTCCTAAGTCCCTGATTCATATGCACCACCAAGAAAGCTATAGTTTCTTCCTCTGAGCCAGAGATGTGATTTTCTCTAGGTAGCAATGAATATGTGGTGATCGTGAACGAGGTTTGATAGAAAGAAAAGAGAGAAGAGGGAGGGAAGTGGGAGGAGCGAAGGGGAGGGAAGGGAAAGGAGACCCAGCTGTACAGGCCTCTGGTTTGTAAAAGGGCTGGGGCTTCTT